CCGCCGCCGGGCGCGGGTCGCCCAGCAGGGCCCACGCCAGCTGCGACAGCGCGGTGCCCCCGCACGCGTACAGGTCGGCCACGGCCAGCTGCACGAGCAGGAAGTCCATCTTGCGACGCTTGGGACCCGCCCCGGGGCCGCCGCCGCCGCCGCACAGGCGACACAGCACGGTGGCGTTGCCAGCCACCGCCGCCACCAGGATGACCCCCAGGAAGACCAGGCGGAGCCGGGGGCCGGGTGGCCCGGGGGACGGCGGCGGCGACCCCGGGACGGAGGCTCCCTGTCCCAAAGTAAGGTTGAGACTCCAGGTCTGCAAGCCGGGCGCGGGCGGCAGGGTTGCAGGGCCGAAGGGATCCTCCATCCTCGGCCGGGAGGGAGGGGAGCCCGCCGAGGGCGGCGCGGCGCGCGGGGCGGCGCTGGGTCTGGAGTTCCCAAAGTTAGTTGGAAAAACGCACGCACGGCCGGCGAGATGGGCTCGGGTGGGTCTGCGCCTGGATGTTTTCGTAGGTTGTCGTCGTCATTTGTCACTCAAATGTGGGTTGTGCGCTTGAGGAACGCGCGTGATTCCTATTCCCCACCTTCTCCGCTTCTGGCCCCCAATCCCAGCAGGTCCCCTCCTCATCTCTGCCGCAGCGCCCCACGCTGCTCTCCAGCCTGGTGGGTTCCGTTCGCTGCTTCCACGGCCTAGCGAAAGGTCGCTTGCCTCGCTGTTGTAAAGGCTAATCCTAATCGGGGACCAACGAGGAAGAGAGAGCTCCTGGAATTGTGTCCCCCTTATGGTTTCGTGATAGCCAGCAAGAAAACAAAAGGTAGCAAAGACACTGGTTTTGATGAAAACAGGTTGAAAAATAAACGACGATTTGAAATGCCAGGGGCCTGCACTAGAACACGAGAAGCCTGTATTGAGCGGTGAAAAGCCATTAGATGAGTCTTTGACAAGGATGGCTTCCTTTGCCCAGCAGTGAGAGTATTTTAATAGAGAAATAAAGGCAATGGTGTTGCCTGGCAATTAGGAGTGGCAGTGGTTTGCACATAGTTCCAAGTACTTCTCATTACTCCAAGCAGCGGGTGGCAGCTGCGCTCCCCTCTCGGAGATATAAAATTCATTTCATTAGTCTGAAGAGGGCATTGATAGGTTTTATGCAAATTGTGGTGCATGCTCGCTTCCCCCCTGTGTTTTCATCCAGTGAGGGATGTGTCACCATAGCTCTCTGATTTTGTTTTCCAGCAGATGGGAGGTTGCTAGGGGGGACTACGCCTCCGATAAGCCTTTAGAAAAGGTGACTAAGAAAATGATAAGGCGGCCAATTTTTAAAAAAGAAATGCAAGTCACAGGAAATGGTTGGGATTAAATGCTGTCTCTTTTATCGAAGCCGTACTTCGCAAACACATTTTAGTTTTCTTGTCCTAAGCATCAACTTGTCTTTTGTGCACCCCAAACCTTAATCGTGGTGAGGAAGAATTTCTTGGGCTTCCGGGTGTGGGGACCAGGAAGGTGTGGGCATCTACTGGGGGTCACACTGTGGTGCTAAAGAAACATCTGGGACTTGAAGGTGCGTGGGATGGGGACTGGGGGGTACCGAGGACAGTCCTGACAGCTGTTGTGCGAATGTCATTTGCTAAGTGTCCTTCAGCCAGACTCTTGTCATTTTTGTCATATCTCCAGTGTCTCACTCTGGGTCCAATACGTGATAGATGTCAGTGAGTATGTGTTGTTGATAAATTAATGAATCTAATGCATTTCAGATAGCTTGGAGCAGAATTCCTGCTTGGACTACAGAACCATTACATAAAATTTAAAAATTCCTTTATATAATGCCAATATCAGAGAAGCCCAGGGAAGCTCATGGAAATATATAGATGAGGATACTTTGGATGGTACGTTTAAACAAGAGGAAGAGTGATAACCCTGGAAGATCTGAAACCCTGGCTTGAATTTCACACTTCTCACAGTAGTTTGTCCACACCCTTTTCTGCATAACACATCATCCCAGCTTGTGACCCCTCTGAGCAATACCACCGTTCAATGCTTCTCCTCCCAAATGTCAGTTCAGCAAATGTCAGTTCAAGATAATTCTATAACGTCTCAGAGTTGCTGAAATGCTCTTGTATCTTACAAAATAAGACTCCACTGGTGAAATTGCATTTCACAGAACTTCATTTTAGTAAAACCCAATAAGGCAGTGGTTTTAAAACTAGTTCTTATCCAAATAATACATGTACAGAATCCTGTAAGCCAAATAGAGCTAGAAAGCTGATAACATAAAAGGCTGTTTGTCCTCATGGCGCTTTTCTCTTTTTTTCTTTTTCCGTTCTTCCTTCTCTCTCTCTCCCTCTTTGCCCCTTTTTCTCTCCCTGTCCTTTGCCTTTCCTTCTCTCCTCTCTCTTCTCTTCAGTCTCTCTGATGCTGGACCTGGAGCATGTTAGGCAAGTGGTGCACCATGGAGTTACATTCCCCACACTTCTTTTTTTAATTTTGAGACAGGGCCTCACTAAGTTGCTCAGGCTGACCAAAAAACTGCAATCCTCCTGCATCAGCTTCCTGAGTAGCTGGGATTATAGTATGCATAAGTAATAGTATGATTCTAGTTTATCATTTCAGGGATGCATGATTCCAGTTTGTCTCAATAAAAGAGATGTCAAGCTTAATCAATAGTTATTTTTTATTTTATTGGTACATTTTAGATAGACATAGTGATAACATACTCATATAAAAACAAGACCAAATGATCGAGAAAAACAATACAAAAACAAGATGTTCACTTCAAGGTGAATCTCTGTTGTCACTGGTAGACAATGTGGGCAGACAGAGTCCAGATCTGAGCTGAGTAAGCCCAGCAAGCCATAGCTTTATGACAGAGCAGTGGATAATCCCACAAGCCAGCACCCTCAGTTCCACTGAAGTTCAGGCTGGCTCTGGCTGGAACCTGATGTGTTCAGCTTGTAACAATCTCTGTAGCTCCTGCTGGCTTGGACTGGGCTCCCTGACCTCCTGATAACTTGAACTCAGCAGCCTCACCCTGACACTGGGAGCTGCTAGGTGGAGCCAGCCTGCACTTATTACCAGTTCTGTGCTCAGTTGGCCCCTCTCCAAGATGGCTGCCAGCCAGTTGCCCTCTCCTGGGCGCCGTCTGAAGCCAAATAACTCACCAGCTGCTGCGGTCTGTTGTGCCCACTACTCTGTCCCACTGGTGTGTTTCTCTATGGAGACTTCTGAGATCACCAGGAGTCACCATGCATCTGCAGGTTTGAGCCACCTCTCCCATACAGTGAATTCTGGCTAAGAAGAAAGCACTGCCTGCCACCTCCTTCTTCACTGAAGTCTTTCTCTTTACTCTCCCCATGGGCTTCAGTTCTTGCTTCAGATCCTTCCTGTTCCAGGGACCCACTTGCCTCCTCTTTCTCTTCCTCATGTTGCTATATTCCAGCATCTGAACACCACATCTTGGAGAGGCTCTTTCTTTGGTGCTCACCACTCCACTGTCTTCATCAGTAGTTATTCTCTAGGTAGTACATAGTAATTGCAGAAAAATAAGTCACTAGATAGTCACAATAACAGCAAAAACTCACCTAACATCTGCCTAGGTAACCATTGTTAATATATGTCCTTTGGATAATGATAGATCTGTTTATTTACAAAAATAGATCATACTAGTATAGATATTTTGTACCCTACTTTTATTGCATATAACATTGTTTGGATAGATTTTTCATGTTAATAAGTAGAAAAATATATATGCATTTATATATCTAATAGGTAATAATACATTTTTAATGTTAAATAGATTGCAGTTATTTAAATACCCTCCCCACCCCTTCTTTGAGACAGGGTCCCACTATGCAGTTCAGGCTGGCCTTGAGCTCACTTTACAGCCCAGGCTGGTCTCGAACTCACAATGTTCCTCCTGCCTCAGCCTCCTGAGTGCTGGGATTACAGGCGTGTGCCACCACACTGGCCCTAACTGCATATTTTGGACAAAGATTTTAAGCTCTTTACTTTATGAATAATTCTGGGAGGTATTTCTCTTTATATACATCTTTGCACATGCATTCAATTCTTCCCTTACGATGACATCTTAGAATTAGAATTTCTAGGACAAACGACAGGCATTTTTACAAAGCGTGGTGCTTTGTAACAATTTTAACACGTGGTGCTAAGCTGTCCTTGACAAAGGAGACAAGAAATATATGTGTCTTTTCCCCTGTAGTCTCCACAACGTGAACACATCATTGTTATTTTTTGTCACTCAAAGATGTTAAAGTTTTTATTTCTTCTCTATAAAAATTGAGATATGATTAAAAAGCCATAAATCATTTGAAAATATACAATTCAGCGCTTCTTAGCATATTCACATGTTTGTGTAAGCATCTGGTCCCAAAATGTTTTCATCATCCCAAGAGGTACCCTGCATGCATTCCTCCTTTCTCCCAATCCCTGAAAACCACTAATCTTTCTATGGGCTTGCGTATCCTGGAGGTTTCATGTAAATGTAATCACATAGTATATGGTTTTTGTTTCTAAGCTTCATCTGTGTTGTAGCATTCCATACAATATACTTATTGGATGGATGTACCATATTTTGTTTATCCATTCATAAGTTAATGGATATTTGGTTGTGCTTATTTTCTGGATATTGTAAATATACTGTTAGGAAGATTTGTGTACAAACCCATGAGCACTGTTTTCTGTTCTCTAGAGTACGTATACCTAGGAGAGGAATGTGGTAATTCAATTTGACTTTTTGAGGAATTGCCAAATCATTTTCCACAGAGACTTCCATTTTACATTCCCACGAGCAGTGAGTTTCTCTCTTCATATAGATTCAGATTCCCAATTGGGATTGTACAGCTTCTGCTTGAAGAATATTCTTTTAAATTTCTTATACTTCAGGTCTGTTGAAAACAGTCTTTAGATTTTTTTCTTTGCTTTTATGAAAGTTTTTATTATGTCTTCATTTTTGAAAGAAATTTTGCTGGTACATAACATTCTAAGATGACAGTTTTTCTTTCAGTACTTTAAAGATGTTACACCATTGTTTTCTGATTTAGACAGTTCTTGGTAAGTTTTGCTCATCTTTCTAATGATACAGTTCTGCTTTTGTTCATTTGTATGGAATGGTTTCCTGTTTGCTGTGGTTGCCTTCAGGGTTTTCTCTTGATCTGCGTTTTCCACTAATTTGATTAGGATGTCCTTAGGTGTCCTCCTCTTTGTATATCCTTCTTGGGCTTCTCTAATATTTACTTTGGTGATTTGTCTTTCATTAACTTTGGAAAATTCTCAGCAATAATATTTTTAAACATTTATTCTGACATTTCTCTCTCTGTTCTCCTTCTGTGAGTTGAATTGTACATATGTTATGTCATTTCATATAGTTTCATATAGTTCCATTTCATACAGTTTCATATAGTTCCATTTCATGTAGTTTCATATAGTTCATATATGTTTCATATAGTTCATATAGTTTCATATAGTTCCATTTCATATAGTTCTTGGCTGCTTCACTCCACTTTTCTATGCTTTTTCTCTTTTTATTTTTCTCCTCTGTCCTGCTTATTAGCCATTGAAATTCAAAATTTTATTTTGAAAAATTTCCATGCTTCTATATTCAAGTTCACTATTGCTGTCTGATAAGGCAGGTGAAGGAATTCCTCATCCATAATAATGTATTTTTCATTTCTCTTTTTACTTTGTTTTTCTGCTGAAATTCTCTGTGCATGCTGTGTGCATTTTCCATTAGCTCTTTTAATATGACAACCATAGTGTGTTGGTTTGGGGCTTATTTTGCAAGGGGAACAATAGAATACAGGACACATACTTCATATGATTATTTATAATAGTCACCCAAAGAACAGTATACAAAAGAGTGCAGGGCATCTGACCACACACTAAGACCAGGGAATCCAGCTGAGGGCCTGGATCCCACAATAATGTCCTACATGAGTTGAGCTGAATACCCAGAGCTCATAACAATGCCTCCCACGAATCCAGCTGGAGGCCCAGAGCCCATGACAACGTCTCATGCAGGCCTGTTTCATGAATCTGCTGGGAAGGCCCAAAGGTCAGCGGTGGAATCTACTAAGTCTGTGCCAGCAGGATGAAGGACCTGTGCTAGCAGGCTGAGGGATCTGCACTGGAGCCAGGAAGTGATGCTCAGAACCAGAGCTCCCCCAAAAGGCACCACAGCCATTATTGGCAACAGTGAGGTCCTGAGCTCCTCTGATGATCAGGATGGCCGAGTTCCCATCAGGGAAGCCAACACAGCAAGCTTTTCCTAGAGGCCGGCAGTGCACCATCTTCCTCTCCAGAACCAGGAAGCGATGCTCAAAGTGAGGACCAGAGCTCTCCAAAGTGAACTGAAGCCATTCTCAGTGCCAATGAGGTCCCGAGCTCCTCGGAGGATGAAAACAGCCAAGTTCATCAGAAAAGTCAGCTCCCCACTGCCTCTTTCAGCTCCCAATAGCCTTCTTCTTCTTGTCCAGGTCTGCCTCTTATGCTGCTGACAGCAGTCCTCAGGTGGGCCTCCCACACCCAGCACCACTCACTCAGTTCAGCTGGGGGTTACAAGTTGACCACCAGTTATCAATCCACTACACATAGTCCATAAAGTTATTTTCCTGTTGTTTCA